GATCTACGTGATCGAAGTCATTTCTTAAACAATCATTGAATTGATCTCAATTATCTAAATGTACTGGGATTTCAATAATTTAGGCCATTCAATTAAGTATATATTTGGCATCGATGCTGCATATACAAAATTATTTTCTGAGAACATGATTTTTTTTTTGTTTGGAAATGTTGCTGCCAGATAAAACGTTTTATGAGACAACAATAACACCTTCTGTTTGGTACCAGTGCTTCATATCTATTTTCAGCACTGATACCCATTGTAGGAAGTAGTCCAGGTCAGTGCCCCATCATGTCTTCATTGGTAGCAACGAGCTCCAAACTGAGAAAACGTCAAATTCGGTGTTTCCCCAGACCATGCCTTCTTGATTTTCAAGGCATGACTTGGAGCACCATTTTTTATGGAAAAACGGTTCCAAACATGCTACCGTTTTCTGGAGCACCGATTTTTCCAATATGGCACTGATGTATCACCGTTTTCTGGAGCAACGGCATCGATGTCAAACACCGCCTAAATCAATCAAATAATCTATGTTATCTAAGTGGCCTCTTGAAAGTAATGAATTAATCATGAGCATGTATCAATGTCTCAATTGATCTCATCCATTCAATTAATGAATGAAAATTTCTAAGTGTGTATCAAGTTACCTATATGTTTATCATAAAAAGAAAAAAATCTATTTTGAAAAACCATCCAAATGATGTACCTATTTTGTTTTAGAATGCATTGGGTTAAATTGGGATCTGTTTTGGTTCTTTTGGGTCTGGTGTCGTTTTAGCCAAGTTAATTGGGATCTCTTTTTGGCTTTCCTGGTTTTAGGCAGGTTATGGTTGACCCTCATTTTTGTACTTGTTTTCTTTTTCTTCTTTTATAATGTATTTATTCCTTACCATTTGCTTTTAAAAAGTCATAGGTTTAAGTTTCATACAAGTTCTTAATTTTCAATTTATAGCATAAGACATCAAAGTCATTTGCAGTTCATTTCATAATAACGTATAATGTTTTGACCTTTTTTTAGTTTAATTTATTGATATTAGTCAATTTTTGATATCAATCCTAATTTGATTCAATTTCAAAGTTCAACTATATATAGTGAATTTCCGAATATTTATTGCACATTAAATTAAAATTTCAACCATTCGCATTAGAGACATCACATGAACTACTTTTCATTGGTTTCGTTTTACAAGGTGTACTTACCATCAAGACTTTAAACATTAAAGATGTTAGATATGACGTATTGTTTTATCATTGGTTCACATCTTTTGCTTCACGGTTCGTTCATGTGCTTTAGATAGAGATGTTAGATAAGGTTTTATTCAAATTCAAATATTAACAATTCAAATTCGTATCTAACTATATCTGATTGAAATTGACTCATTTTGCACCTTAGATAGAGAGATGCTACCCTAAATTCCCAAAATTTCAAGTTATATAGGTATCTCTACAAAGAAACTAATTAATTTATGAAAACATATTAGACTAACTTCAAATTCCATACATTCTAATTTAATTAAAATGATATAATCCTGTTAAGGCTTCTCAAAAAAAAGAAAAAAAAAAGAAAAAAAAGAAAAGAAAAGGAAAAGGTTAAGCTATAAGATTCACATCTAACCATTTTCAACCACGACAGAACTAGTGAACCTAACAATGTTCTTCTATGGTCTTGAATTTCACTGTAAATAGAAGCTTAAGAGGCCAATAGGTCATACAAACCTATTAAATAAGTAAATTTTGTAAAAAATATTTTAGAAAACCCAAGTGTGAAAATGCAACCACTAGAGATCTGTAAAAATATACGGAACAACATCCTTTAGACTATATTTGGTTTAAAGGAAAAGGTAGGGAAAGGAAGGAAAAGGTATAAAAACCCGTACAAGATTTATAAAGGTTTTTCTATCTTTCCTCTCCTTTTCCTACTTTTTCTTTTAAACCAAACACAGCTTTAGTGCAACCTGAGCCAATTGAGATTGTGCTATCACCATACAATGGGATAGATTACCAAATATTCAGTCACAAAACAATGAAAAAAATTAACGGAATTTCTTCATATTAATTATTACTTATAATGCACAATTAATGCGCAACTAGATGCCTCCTTACAATTTTGCCCTCATAATAAAACTGGAGCAAATTAACAAATATATGTATTTGTCACAAAAAAGTCCAGAAATTCAGTGGCACATTCAAACCAGTTTTAAGTTCCTAATTCCTAAATTTGTTTTTGTTACTTAATGTACCAACGCACAAGTTCCTAGGTGGCGAAATTGATTTTTAGGACAGTGGTTGCTAGCTACACACCTGATCAGCTATTACAAATAAGTTTCTCTCTCTCTCTATTTTGCATATTGTTCCAATTTCAGTAGAGTACTGCTATTGCCTGTTGCCTCCATCTATTGCATACTTATTCTCAACAATATCAATGTCATTTTTAGTTCATTTTATTAATAATATATAATATTTGATCACTTTTGTTTTAATTTAATAGTGCTATTAAATATTTAATTGCATTTTTAAATTCATTTTTAATCCAATACAAATTCAACGGATAAGATTAAATTCAAATTTTTTCGATAAAGACAGAAGGGGCCATGGTTTTCAAAACCGGACTGGACTAGATGGTCGGACCGGAAAAACCGGGAACCAGTTAGGTGATCGGTTCCGTTTTCCCCTAAAAATCGGATTTCTCCCCAAAATTGTTGATTTTGGTCAACGAACTGCTGAACTGGGCGGTTAACCATTTGAACAGTTTTGACCATTTTTTATTTTTTTGTTAGAATGGGCCAAGCATTCGGTTCGAACGGTCGGACCATTCGACCCGGTAACCGAACCCCTAACTGGTTCGGCCACTAGGTCGGTTTTAAAAACCATGGAAGGGGCTACACAAGACAGGGGTAGTACGTCCTGATAAATCAACAAAACAAATAAGAGAAAGAGGAGGGGGAGGGAAGAGAGACTAAAAGACAAAGAATCCGAAGAAAATGAAAGCACTTCATGAGCCAACCAATCTGTAGGCTGATTAGCCTCCCAAAAACACATGTTTGTACCTTAATCCTCTGTCGAACAAGCTCTTCATCTGAACACATTCTTTGATCATGTTAGTTATGCTCCAAGGAGGGAGAGTTTTCTCATTGAGACATGAGATAACAAGCTTGGAATCGTCTTCAATAATGATAGGAGATTCTCTGAAATTCTAAGCCATATTGTGGGCTTCCCAAATTGCCCAAGCTTCAGCTTGGTTGATGGTGGAAACCCCTAATTTAAACACTTTTAAGTCTAAGACTTTTCCAAGGTGGCCTTGAGCAATACTTTCTATTGAGAAATTTCTATCACTGTTGCCGGAAGCATCAAAATTAATCTAGATATAGCTGATATTGGGGATTTCCATACTATAGCCTTCTAGTGCTTAGCACACATTCAACAATGGATTCTCTCATTCCCTCTAAATATTCTAAAAAGAGGTTCATCGCCCTTTCCAGAACAATTGGAGGGGGAGAAAACTTGTACTTAAAAACTCTTTCATTCCTATTTTTCCAAATTGACCATAGGATAAATGCTAGTTTTTCTCTTATATGAGCACTCCCATCCCCCTTGTTATTTCCAATACGAAACCACCACTCCACAATAGATTGATCATTTTCATTAGGACCTCAAGATAGGCGTTAATTATAGCCCAAATCTATTTAGAGAAATTGTAGTAACTAAAAATATGGTCAATGTCCTCAACTTCCCCACAAAAAACAAGTATGTCAAAACCTCTCTTCCTAAGATGATTTCTTGTAGGAAGTTTGTTTTGGAGAAGAAGGTATAGAAAAGTTTTTATTTTTGGAGGGCATCCAATTCTTTGAATCATTTTTGCTCAACCACGCATGATCATTTTAGAGAATATGCTGATTTGATGGTGAATTCACCTTTAGGATTATAGCCCCAAATTAATTTATTATTTGCTAAATGAGGAGATGAGATCAGTTTTATTATCTGCCAAATCCGATTAAGAACTATCCTACCAACTTTATCTTCGACCTAAAATTTTCTCTCATAATCAATCAAGTTTGAGACATACATGTTGCTGCCAAGGATGGGGCCGAGGGCAACAAGGTAATTTCAATTCTTTGGCCGAGGCTGATGTGTCCAAACTGAGAACAAGAGAGTGCACGTCAGAGGCCCCGGGTTATATCTCAGGGGTGGAGACTTCGACGGTCAAATTAGTTAAGTGTATGAAAGGGGTCGAACCAGGCTAGAGACGAGGGCTTAGACGAAGTCACTTAAGAGCAAGAGAGTTAGAGAACAATATGGAGCAAGATGGATTTACCTTAAGCTGGGCACCCCCTTTTATATTTGACCTTGCAATGGAGTGGTTAAGGGTTGTTAGGAATGGAGGGCCTGGATCTTGTCCGACCGATGCCATGTGGTGCAATCCTGGGCCTTGCCATATGTGCCTACATCAATACATATCTTTATTTCATCATTTTCAATGCTTATTTCTTCGATTAGAGGTTTCCCAAACACCCAATTATCTAGCCAAAATTTGATTGATCTTCCATTCCCACTAACTAACAGATAGGATTCCGGGCAACGAGAATGCGTTTCTAGACCCAAGAGATATCTTTATAATTAATATTGACATCCCAAAAACTCTCTCTTTATAATTAATATTGACTTTGACCCATAGGTTTTCCTCACTTAAAATTTTTCATCCAAGTTTTGCCAGAAGATTAAATTCGAATTTGAATACAAGCAAATCAAATTTAATTTCGATCCAGGTATATATCTGAGTTGATCTGATTGGTTTGCAACCCTAATTGTAAAAATGGGGAAAGCGTCACACAATCCAGACATGGAAGAGAGAGAGAGAAAGAAAATAGAGCCATTTGTAGGTCGTATGAATAATGTCCACTAGGCCCACAACTTTTCGATCGTTCTCATAAAATGCCATTAAACTAACAGTTCCATGGTCCAAATTAAATAAACGTTATCTTGTGAGCAAGATGACGGTATAATTGCAGAATATTTGCAATATAACAACGTAAATAATTGTCTTAAAATCATGAATTGCAACCGCAATTTTACAATTAGCTATCTTGGTGCTTACCTGTTATTAACATCTATTTGGTTTCACAGCTGATGAGGAGGGTAGAAATAGGCAAAAACATTGAAGAAGGTCTGAGCCATGGTGAGGAGGAGGAGCACAACAGCAGCAAACAGTGAAATGAACGACCAAGGAGAGTTGAAATAAGTATTCTTCAAACTTGCCCAGTAGACATGCCAATGGCTGTCATAGTACGTATTCACATCGTCAAACAGTTTGGTTAGGTAGCATCTCTGGATGTCGAAGGCCACATCCTTGCCTAAATTATTGAAGAGATCTGCAATATCTGCATCAGTTCCGAAGTAGTTCTCAATGATATTGTGTTTGGAAAGGTACCCAACATCCTTTGGGGTGTCAATCAGGCAATCCAGTAGAGTCGCATAAGTGGTGATGTGCTTGGAGCAATGTCTGTGGCACTGTTCGTAAGCAACACAGTTAAGGAAGAAGGAGCCCATGAAGTCATCAATCGTTATTGTTGGCATTTTGAACACCCCATTTCTGAATTTCACATCCAGGAAACTATCTGCCTCTACTTTCCTGAACTGGATTCCTGCCCGCCGGAGCCTTTTAACGCATTGAATTACTTGGGTTGACGAGGTGGACTTCTGTGGCTCTGGTTGGGACTCTGGGATGAAGCTTGAGCGGAATAAATCAAGCAAATGTTTGGGTTGGAGTCGGAGCTTTTCATACTTGTTAATAATTTCGTCAGGTCTTTGCACTGCATTGTTGAAGAATTCCAAGGCAAGTTTGACGAGGGAGGGGCCTGATTCATCTCCTGGCATCTGTGATAAATCGAACAAGGATTCGAGAACAAAAAATGGAAGTTGGTTCTCAAGCCGAATTAGATCCCTCAAGATGAAGGGGAAGACCCAAGACATGGAGAAGATGGGGTCAGCATGGTCTCCCTGCACACACCTCCCAACTATCCTAAAGAGCTCGATGACAAAGCAACCATCCAAAACCATCATCTCGACAAATTCATCACTGTCCAGGCCAATTGTCTCTGAGTAGCATTCTCTGGCCTTCTCCTCTAATGATTTGACAGTCCTCACATAGTCTTCTAGGCCTAAGCCCTTGCTTTCTGTTCTGGAAAGGAGGGAGCCCAGGAAGCGCCACTTGTGCTCTTCGATCATCTTGAGCTGACTCTCACCATGGTGGTAAGGACCGATTGATACAATATGAGGTTGGTAAGCCTTGCCGTTGACGTCGATGAGGCTTTGAGGGACTCTAAATATGCAACAGGATCTCCGGCCAGCTGAGCTTTTCAGAAGCCACGGGGTTCTTGAGATCTTCTGTTGCATGAAAGCTAACTTCTCCTTGTTCACATCACAAATCCTTGCGACATGATCAGTCTCTTGCTTTACATCTTCAGGGCTTATTTCCATCTCTCAGTTTCCTCCTTGTTAATGTTTTGGAATTCATGACCTTTAATCTGTCTCTCTTATCTTGCACGCTCTTAATAGTGAACCAACTAGAAGAACGCACTCAGAATGGTAGATGAAGGGAAGTTGAAAGAGACTTGGAATGTTTCTTGTATGACTAGTCTAGTGGCCAAGTGGATAGATATTCCAAGTAGTCCACTAATCCTTCACTGAAATAATCAAACAGGTGGGGTGATAAAAGAGATTTAGACCTTGGCGCAGTTGGTTCTGATGAAGTTAGGGAGCTGCAGTTAATTTGCTTACTCTTACTTATTGTCCACGTTCTTCCCTTATATATATATATATATATATAGCCAGCTGCGCGTCTACCTCTCTAATTCCTCCACTGATAATAATTTTCTGGTATTGATTAGTACTTAAATGGAGTATTATATTCCATATGATTCAAAATTGCTTGGATAGTACTTYACTAGTACGTTGCATAACAATAGTTCTCATGGATAATTCCACAATTGATTGGGTGGTATTTGATGAGGGGTATTTTGGTTCTCCGAATGACATCACGATATATATATATATATATATATATATATATATATATATATACAGCTGCGCGTCTATCTCTTTAATTCCTCCACTGATAATGATTTTCCGGTATTGATTAGTACTTAAATGGAGTATTATATTCCATATGATTCAAAATTGCTTGGATAGTACTTCACTAGTACGTTGCATAACAATAGTTCTCATGGATAATTCCACAATTGCTTGGGTGGTATCTGATGAGGGGTATTTTGGTTCTCCGAATGACATCATGACACATGGCATCCAAGTGATACCTCAGCGCTGAATAAGTAGATCATCTCGATAAGTCGGCTCGTAGCATCTCGCATAGGCCAACCTGGAGTACCTCGGCTTTGGTCAAACTAATAGGCCTCCGAGCTAAGAGAGACCTACTTCCGAACTGGCCAAGCTATGAGAAGTACCAATAGCGACCTACAAGGCATGCTCGCTGACTTGTTGTCATATAGATCGGTTAACAGAGCATTGATGAGTTGACCATTAGGCTGGCCAACCCACATGTATCGCATGCATCAGAGTTAATCGGACGGACCTCAGCCCCCTGTGCAGATCACGTAACCGATGTCATTATTCTCCCGACTTAATGGAAACGACTCTGTGAGAACACGAGACTCATTGCTAGAGGTCTATAACCACTCATACCTATATAAAGGACTCATCTTCACCTGAAGATGTATGCGAGATTAAGTTCTCACACTCTCTAAATCCTCAAGAATTCCTAAAAATTCTCTTCGCTGACTTAAGCATTAGAGTGCCCATCTTGAGTACGAACAACCCAAGCACTCTAACTCTTTTTCTTGCAAAATTGCACAACTCTACCAGCCCTAGCTCAACAAGACAAGCATCCAATTCGGTGTCTAAATCATCTGACACATGAGAACCACTAGATCGCACACCATCAATATCTATACAACTTTCAATCCTTTGGTAACATGAGACAGATCTAGTGAGAGATCAAGAGAGAGCAGTTTAATAATTTAATATGATTGAAAATAGAGCTGAGGTAGTGGCAATAGTACTAACTATTGACTTCAGTATTAATTTGGCCTGAGATATGCCCTAAGGAAAGCAACAAAGAACAGGATATCTGGCCTACCCCACTAGGTATATAATTATTCTTTTTGTTTTTTCTATTTTCGTTCTATAATAATCATGATCATCTACTTCTATGAAGGTAGGTGTTAGGCAGAAGTCACCAACCAGTCTTCTTATAATCTGGGACAAACCATAACCTACCAAAAGAGGGTATTCCACCTTCCACGCACAGTTTTAATTTCTACAGTACGTTTTTTGGTTTCAAAAATAGGCAACGTAATAATGGAATGAAGCATATACCAAGTAGTGTAAACATTTTGTTGGTTCTATACTATAGATTTGGTAAATGGATTCACAAAGAATTAAAATAATTAACTGAACCGAAGTAACCTTTGGACATATCACAATGTTCAACACTTTTAGATTCACAAGTTTTGATTTGAAAAAAATTAAAAGGTATATATTCATTCGACATGCTTTTTTTGTTTTTAATAGATAAAAGATATTAATTCAACAAGTTTTGGGTAAGTTTTGTTTTTGTGCTTGATTTTGTCAAGGCTTGTAGAGGCTTCCGAGGGGCTGTTTTGATTTGGCACTTGTTTTTGTGAGTTCGGCTTCAGTCAGTGCAATCATGTTCACACTGTTCGAACAACCTCTTGTAATCTTGTATTGAAAATATCTTCTCATGAAATAAAGTATATAAGTACCGAGATATTTTCAATCCAAGGCTATAAAGGCTGTTTAAAGGGAAGCCTGTCTCTGTTTTTGTAGAGGCCTCCCATGTATATAATTTGTATATTCTTTTTTTTTTCTTTTAATTATAAAATCTACCTTACTTTTTCAAAAAAAAAAAAAAGATAAGTTTATGAAAAATTAGAGGCATTGATCACAAATAGTAAAAGTGGAAGAATCGATTAGGCAAGGAGCGGGTCCCTCTAGGAGTTCTGAGGTGGAGGCGCCAGGATCCGCAGACTCTCATGCAGAGAGAGACTTTCAGGTGGCGAGATCAATGGGGCTGTTCTTTTGGGGTGGTGAAGCTTTTGCAAGTGAATCGTTACGAAGGTTTGAAGCAGAAGCTGAAGAGGTACGAGCTAAAGAAGGGGTTGACTGTGACCTCGAAGAGTTCTTGGAAAACAACGACTCCTTGGATGAAGCCGATGAGGCTTCCTAGTTTGGAGGTCTACCTGGCAGTAGAAAACTAGGAGGCTTATTGATTATTATGTGGATGCCTCAGTTAAAGCAGATAGAGGAGGAAGGAAGGCAGTTAGGGGTAGAAGAAGAGGAGGAAGGCAGTTTGGGTATTTTGAAGATTTTTTAATTTGATGGTGGTTCAACTTTGTGTTTTTTTTGAGATTCTTCTGCTTTTTGTGGGTTTCAGAAGGACGTCACTCTCTCAGGGTTTGGTTGTTTGGGAGAATGACGGTTCAGCCTAGTTGGGGTAGGTGCCAGTTTGGAATTGATGTCAATTCACGGCCCGCATTGATGTATAGAGTGGGGGTGTTTGACATTTTAAATTATTATAGGTATACAGTAAAATTCAGAATTCTGCAGTGGACTGAAGCATACTTTTCTGTTGTTGTTTTAGGTTGGAAGATATTAAGTTTTTTGTGCTTAGTTTTAACCTGGAAAATGTTCTAGTCTCTTTTGAGAGCTTCGATCCTCTTACTCGGATTGTATTGTTCTCTTCTTTTCTTCACCTTTTTTCTCTTTTAATAATTTTTCTTTTCTTTTTACTCTGCACAAAAAAAAAAAAAAATTTACATCACTTCTGTCATTGGCCCATGCTTTGTCATGAATTCTAGGGTTTCATAATGTAACTTTCACTCCTTTTATAAAGTAAGTAGGTAAATTAAATAGTGGAACTAAAACCATATCATTCAACGTTGAAAAATTTTCACAAAAACAAGCTAAGGAGGTGCGACCTTTCATCCACCCTAAAAAGTGAAAGTACTGGAGCAATTTTTTTTTTGTTTTGTTTTCGTTAAAGAACTCCCCTTCAATGGTTAGTTCCCCCACTATTTCTTATTTTTAATTTTTTTCCTCTTTTTTTCTCATGTTCTTAATATTTTTCTTGATGAAGTTTATTTTCCTATTCAATTCGTTCTCTTTAGTTAATGACCTATGCTCAGTATGAGAATACTATACATATTTAAGTTAGAATTAAAACATGTTAGAACTAGAGTATGGTGCAGCACGTCCCTTTACATATATTTTTATTTTGATTTGTTTTAGCGAGTAACATGTTTGAAAGAGAAGCCCTCTTATTCGAAGAAAGAATTTTGCTTGTAGGAAGGATGATTTGCATCCTTTTGAGCACCCTACAAATGGAAATGTACTCACATACATGTTCGCAAGTGATTGGAAGGATGCTTGCGCCCATCATGGAATGAGAGAAGATAAACTCGTTTGAGGCATTTGTTTTATCTGTATACTAGTACTGCCCCATTCGATGAACAGAAAAATTAGAAAGTTGATTAATTTTATTAATTGAAAATTTGAAATATATCAAGGATTTTTCTTTTTTGGTAGAGCTTAAAATATAAGGAAGGCTTAAAAATTGTTTCTCCGTGGGACTACACAACCACGGGGATCATCTCCAAACCTGTAAAACCTCCCAACCCTAGTGCAAGCTGGATTTTATCCCGTGTCTCTGCTACAACCAAAAGATTACCAGCCAACCAATTGACACTTTGGCATAGAATGTTAAAACTAAATTAATAAAAATATCTATTTATAATTTATTGTTGTTCGCACAACAGAAAAAAAAAATAGAAAGAAATTTTTGAATATCCTAAAAATCATTAGTAGGAATATTGATATAAATAAATTAATATGAATAAAATTTTCAAAATTTATTGGTATGAATAAATTAATTTTGAAAAAAAATTGAATTTATGAAAAATTAATTATTGAAAATATAAACAGTTTCAGAAATTTAGATTTTTAAATTAAATTTCACCAAATTAAATTAGCAAAAACATGAAAATTAGTTTATGGAAATCACTAAATTAAAAATTCCCAATAAATACCAAAAGACAATGTAAATTACCAATAATTATAGAAATTATTAATAATTAGAAAATATAAATATCAATATTAATATTATCCAATATATTTTTTTAAATTAATAATTACCAAAAACCAATGTAAATTACTAATAATTAATTATGGAAATTATCAAAAGTTTCCAGTTTAACAATTTTCAAAAAATATCATATTTTCTAAATTTATAGGGAAATTATAAATATACTTAAAATTTCCCAATAGTTTTCCAATTTAATATTTAACATTTTTCAAAAGCCAATGTAAAAGAAAATATCAATATATAATTTTTATTACCAAAATTAAATTTTAAACTCATAATTTTCGGAAAATTATAT